ACAATGGAGCCGAGCCCTGTATTAGAGACCAGTCAGGAAGAAATTCACTACACGCCGCTTCACAGGATGGTAATGTCACCATCATCGAGACACTAATGTCACGTGGTCTAGATGTCGATTCAAAAGATAGTGGAGGAAGGACACCATTGATGTGGGCTGCAGCTTATGGCAAGATTGAAGCTGTAAATTATCTTTTAGACAGAGGAGCCGATCCCTGTATTAGAAACTGGTTAGGAATAAATTCACTGCACGCCGCTTCACAGGGTGGTAATGTCACCATCATCGAGACACTAATGTCACGTGGTCTACATGTCGATTCAAAAGATAGTATAGGAATTACCCCATTGATGTGGGCTGCAGCTTGTGGCAAGATTGAAGCTGTAAATTATCTTTTAAACAAAGGAGCCGATCCCCGTATTGGAGACCAGTTAGGAAACAATTCACTACACGTCGCTTCACAGGGTGGTAATGTCACCATCATCGAGACACTAATGTCACGTGGTCTACATGTCGATTCAAAAGATAGTATAGGAATTACCCCATTGATGTGGGCTGCAGCTTGTGGCAAGATTGAAGCTGTAAATTATCTTTTAAACAAAGGAGCCGATTCCCGTATTGGAGACCAGTTAGGAAACAATTCACTACACGTCGCTTCACAGGGTGGTAATGTCGCAATCATCGAGACACTAATGTCACGTGGTCTAGATGTCGATTTAAAAGATAGTGGAGGAAGGACGCCATTGATGGTGGCTGCAGCTTGTGGCAAGACTAAAGCTGTAAATTATCTTTTAGACAATGGAGCCGGTCCCTTTATTAGGAACCAGTTAGGAAGAAATTCACTGCACACCGCTTCACAGGGTGGTAATGTCACCATCATCGAGAAACTAATGTCACGTGGTCTAAATGTCGATTCAAAAGATAGTGGAGGTAGTACACCATTGATGGTGGCTGCAGCTTTTGGCAAGATTGAAGCTGTAAATTATCTTTTAGACAAGGGAGCCGATCCCTCTATTAGAAACCAGTCAGGAGTAACTTCTCTGCACGCCGCTTCACAGGGTGGTAATGTCACCATCATCGAGACACTAATGTCACGTGGTCTATGTGTCGATTCAGAAGATAGTGAAGGAAGTACACCGTTGATGTGGGCTGCAGCTTATGGCAAGATTGAAGCTGTAAATTATCTTTTAGACAAGGGAGCCTATCCCTCTATTAGAAACCAGTCAGGAAGAAATTCACTGCACGCCGCTTCAGAGGGTGGTAATGTGGCCATCATCACAAAAATTCTGTCACTTGGTTTGAATATTAATTCAACAGATGTTGTAGGTCGCACACCGTTAAAAATTGCAAAAACATATGGCAAAACTGAGGCCGTAACCTTCCTACTTAGCGAGGGAGGACATTAGTTTTTATTTCTTACTGCTCCTTTAAAATACGTCGTTCAGGTCCATAGTCGCGAAAAGAAACGATTGATAAAATTTACAATATTGAGTAAGACTGGATAATAATTAATTCATAATACCGCGAGAGAAGGAACAAATTTAGGCAAGCACATCGATTCCCTCTTTGATTGTATAAAGTAGATCACCTGCACACGATATCATCACAAATTTAACATAGCTTTACACCCTAACATCAGTATTCATGTTCTCCATACTGTTCTTGATACATTTCCTGAGGTGCTGACAAGGAGAATTAGCTGAACGATCCAGAGCTTCTGTAGTTGTTGATCATTTCCGTTATTCTCATGACCTTAATGTGTGATTCAAGGGTGATATTGTAAGGAGAAATTAGATGCTAGTCACTCTAATGGGGTTAAAGGGTTAAGTTCAAATGTTTCACCCTTCAGGCTTCTGTCATCGAGTTGTAGTTTATTTCATTCAATCATATATGAACTCAAATGTAGAGCTTTAACCCTTTCACTCCCAAGATCTCATCAGTAATTCTCCTTACTGTCTGTCATACAACTCTTTTGATGTTAATTTTGAGAATTTGGTATTGGATCAACCAATATTTCCTTTGTTGATATTTTTCTTTATTCTCATAACTTGTCTGTTTGATATTGTATTAATGCTGTAAGGAGAAATTCTGTCTTGGTTACTTATGGGAGTTAGAGGGTTAAAGATGTCCCATCGAGGAAACAAGAGCTCTTTCAAAAACCCCTTTAACCTGGTACTCTGGAACTTTGTATCATAAGTGTTTTATGATTTTTAGTAAGATGCGTATTTTAAGATGAGAACTGAAGTACACTGTTATTTGTTATAACCAAACTCAATGTACAATAGTGTGTTTGGATGTTTTAACATTCCCCTATAATTCAGTTATATATTCGTTATGCATTTCTAAACTTTAGTCTTAAGTATCAGTATTTCTAAAAGATATGTAGATGATGTAGCATTCTTTTCTTATATTCCAAAGTGGAACTTCTATCAAGTTTTAGACTAACAGGCCATTACATTAGTGATTAAGGCTATTATATCATTGGGACTATACTCTATATACTTTTATCGTAATACATTGCTGGATCCAATGACCATATGCTTTGATCATCCTGATGGAAGTAGTCCAAAATCTTGTCAGTGACAATGGCTTTATTTCAAAGATGCGAACAGAAGTTATTATGACAATCAAGTGAAAAATTGTAAGTTCTATTCTAGTCCTTGAAAAGTGACAAATGTCATTTGGATGATCACACCACATGGCTGAATGTTCTCCTTGGTTAGATGATTATTAGTGTGTTTTTTTTAATGTTGTCTTGTGATACGGCTGGGAGACTTTTCAGTTATGAGACACTGTTTTATTTGTAATGAATTGGCAACTTTAAAAATGTAGTAGATTAAAAACATAACATTTAAATTGATCTTTTTTTTAGTAAATAACTTAGTAAATGGCCTAGTTCGATAATGCAAGAGATAAAAATTGTAACTGCCACTTTACTTCTCGTTCAAGCCCTTCCCCACCCCCCTCCCCCCTTCTCTCCCCCCCTCCCCCCCCCGCCATTTGCCCTCATCTCGTGGGGAACTTATTCTTGATCTCAAAACATGCAAGGAAGCTTTTGAGAATAATCAAATGGTCCTCTCATATGAAGACAATTGTTTAATCTTTGAAACCTTTGATTTGTCACAAAACCGTCTATTTGTAGTTTTACAGCACAACGGGAGATAATAAAAGAATGGAATTATTTTCAAAACAAGATAAGGTGATGACCTCATTCAGGAGAAGGCGGCTATTCTTTTCAATGAATAAAGGGGGATACGCCTCTAAAATAAACTGTGGAGCAGCGTTTGTGGGAGAGTATAACAGGGTAATGAAGTTCTGAGTTGATAACGTAAATTGGCGACCGTAAATAGTTTAAAAGCTGACGTTTCGAGCGTTAGCCCTTCGTCAGAGCGAATGACGAAGGGCTAACGCTCGAAACGTCAGCTTTTAAACTCATAACGGTGGCCAATTTACGTTATCGACTCAGTTGATAATACTTAGTTACCCTATTTCATCAGATGGTTTATCGATAACAGGGCACCTTGTTACGTAATCGCGGGTGGTTGCTAATTTTAGAAATTTGTGCGCAGAATAGGATGGATAAGCCAAGGAATTGCTTTAAGTTGAAAAAAAGTGCAAAGGCACTGTTAACTTATCACAACATTCCCATAAGCCATACTCCCCCATGCTTCTCAGAAATATTTCTAGTCTGTGAGCACTATCATTCCCGGCATTAAAACGAGAAAGACCTCTCTCGTAGACTTGAGTTCAGTTTAAGTTTCGTGATTCAATGCCGTCACCTGCAATTAACCCGAAACGCAAATAATTTTTTTTGGCTATTATAGCAGAGCTCGCAGCGCGCGTAGCGCAGCCCCATAATTATTAAAAATATTAGTAACCCATCAAGCCCAAAAAATTTGGACTTACGACCGTACGGGCGTCCTTACAAGGTGCTACTTTTAGCATGCACGGCCAACTGTACTGCAGGCACTATCTTAGCCATTACGTAATGGAAGGGCGAGGGAGAAGGTAATGTGCAGGCGCAATTGCGTACGTAACTTGGATACCCTATTAGTCTGCGCCAAGAAACACCGGCAGATGACACTAAAGTGCGCACACACGAGTGCCGACCTTTAGTGCTGCGTACCGTGGGCACACGGTTAGGCATTACACGAGGGTTTCACGTGGGCTGGTAAATGTCAAGCCGCGTATGCAAATAATTTGCAACCCGTGTTTTGAGCGGGAAACCAAATTGTTGAGGTTGTAGTTGAACGGTAATTCTCAGCATTTTGTAATTTCTAATTAACTCGAAAGGTAACAATACCGGCAAAACTAAAACTTTTCAACCTGAGGAAACTGTTATAATTCAAGTTCGTCGAGAGAAGGTTTTGTGTGAAAATAGGTTGGAAAGAAAGAGGCAGAGCGACCAAAGAGGGCAAGAAGTAAAAGGTGTAAATCGAGTCGAAGAAAACACACAAGAAAGTTAGAAATTAAGGACGCTAAAATAGGCAGAATACGGCGAGAGGAAAGCGAAAGAGAACAAAAAAAATAGGCATTGGTGAAAAGGCGAATATCTAGCGAAGAGCAACGCGAGGAGGAAATGCAAAGATGCTCCTGAAAACAGACTGAAAAGAGGTCATCAACAACTAGAAGCGAACCACAAAGGATACGAGAAAGAAGAGGAGGTAGGTCTTATTTTATCTGGGTTTTCTCTTACGCTAAGGCCCTAAAAAATTCTAACCTTTTTTTACCAATCGTCGTTTGATACTAACTTCAGTTTATAACTCAAGTCACGTTTCGGTAAAACAATGAATTTGGCATTAATCGCCTAAAAAACCCTCGCGCCGGTTGGAAGACTACGTTGGTATAAGAGACGCTTTGTACTGTTGGAAGATAAGCTATACTGTTATGAGAAAACGCAAGAAGTGTTGGTGTTCTCCGAGATCGTAATGATGTCCAGTGTTACGTCTTTGACTGTTCAGAACTCTAAAAGCAATAAGATTTTCCACGTCGATGGGAGTATTAGAATGTTGAGATTCTCGTCTACAGAAGTCAGAAACGCTTGGCTCACGGCCTTACTGACAGCTGAGGCAGTCAATTTACTGAAGTACCAGTAATACTTTAAGTGACATTACTACTTCGAATTCAGTAAATGATCTAAACATTCAAGCATGTAATTATTCAAGTTTAATTATCTACAGGTGTAAATATACTCTAAGACTACTGATAAGGTTTGAAACAATATTGTAATCATGATAATGACAAGAAATTTTTTAAAATCTCAGGGAAAAATAATAAAAATTTCTGTGTCGCAAGTCAAGGTTAAAACAGTATTTATTTAGTCGTTCAAGGAACCCAAATATAAATTCCCATGAAATTGTTGCGCTTTTCTTTGTACAGCCTTTTCATTAAAGTGACCTTTGAGATAATTAATCGTACTAGTAGAACGTGATTACTTTCAATATTCAAGCTTTTAAGAGGGAAATAAGCGCCTTTTACTGTCAGACCAATAAATTTGTATAAAAGTATTTAACTTTTGGAAAAGTCTAGAGGAGTTGGGATTATTCATGAAAAATGTAATCTTCTTTCGACCATGAAATCCCTTTGATTGCAATGACCCAAAAAGGTAAGCTTTAAAAATTTAACTGTAGGTCGCGAACTTAGGATGTCATTCCTATAATTAGTTTTATCTTGCTGACAATGCGCAGTTCGAAAATAAAAATATGACTGAGGAATACAAGACGGGTGGCATGTTTACATAGCACCTCTTTACCTCGTCCGCCACTCTGACCGGAAGATAAGGTCAAATTAAATGAGTTTATTTAAACCCTTTAACTCCTACGAGTGACCAAGACAGAATTTCTCCTTACCATATCACTATAATATCAAGCAGACAAGTGATGAGAATAAAGAAAAATATTAATGGGGGCAAACTAAGATGGCATCCCAACCAGGGGGAGTGGTGATACTCCAGGTCGCTTCATGCTACGGAAAGCGAGATAAAGTCCGGCTGCTGTGTAACCAACTGTTTATCTAGACTTTTGCTTTTGAAAAGAAAGGCCATGAAATACAAATGTCATGGGTTGGGCATGCTACGGAGCTTAGAAATCCCCTCGCTAAAGGGAGAGGTCAGAAAACTCTCGAAGAACGATTGGAATTTTGATTCGTCTTCTAATATCTTTTTGAAATCATTCGGTCTTCCCAGACACCGGTAAATCCTCGATTTCCGCGAGGCATCTAGGTACGTAGTAAATTCTCAAGATGTGATTGTTGATTCTTCCTACCAGCTGATTCAAACTCCATTGCAAATTTGCCGAGAGAATCTAGTGTTCCATCAAGTTCACATCAGGACCAACTGATACAGTGTTTAAATATTTTCACTAACTGTTTGCTCTATGTTTACTCAAAGTCTAGGGGGAGGTTTTATGTTACTCAGCCCTGAGAATTGGAGAGCGGCAAAGCCTTTTCTGAATTCCTGCGTGACTGCAGAGGTAGAAGTTAAACTCAGTGGGGTGAGCTATACCAACATCAACTGTGGTTCCGGGGGGCACGTTTTGGCTAATTCCACACTAAAACCAACCACAATATATAAAACAAATGTGTGAAAACCTAAATGAAGCGGATTCAGCCAAATTCTGGAGTGGGGACGCGTTGATGATCCTTTTTTTTTCTCTTAACCCTTTGACTCCAAAGAGTGACAAGCATCTAATTTCTCCTTACAATATCACCCCTGAGGAGAATAAAGAAAATGAATCATTAACTGAAGAAGCTCTTAATTTTTGGAGAAATTCTTCTTGTCATACTTAGCAAATGTAAAGAGAACAGTGTGGAGAATATGAAGGCTGATATTAGGGTGCAAGTGGTTAAGAAACACTTTCCTCCCTTTCAAGAAAAATTCTGAGTCTTAGCTATAAACCTAACTTTGACTGAGTGTTCAGTGCCTCTCAGGTAATTGAATAGTAATTGAATTTGCGGAAAGATAAGTCATATATGCGGCGAATTCAATGCACATTCTCGTCCAATAGGATTTTTAACCTCAGTGAACAAATGCGAGGGAAAAAGTCCAAATCTGCCCTTTTAAGCTTACAGTTTGTGGATGTCGTCTTTTAATCCACATCCTTTACATTCACTTTACAAGCTACTCATTTCCGAAATCATTACTTAGGTGTGCTACAGACTCTTTTTCGAATGACCTAATATTGACATACACTTAAAGTTAACACATATACTGTTTCCATTTAACTTATCAGTCCAAAG